CATTAGATATAGATCATTAGAGCCAATTGTTTCGTGTTAAGTCGGAAATGGTAGCTACAACATAAGCATAAGCGAGATTGATGTTTCTCTAGTGTTAGCGAAAATACTTCATTTCATATATTGCATGGCAATTGCATTTTATCTGTGACTTTGATCTTAGTCGGGCGTACGTGTTTTAGATGTTTGTGGAACAACTGAAAATAATCGAAGTTCAACTGAATTCAAGCTTCACGCTTAAGAATCTTTCAATTCTGTATTTAATCAGTTTTGCGAACCTCACAATCTTTGACTTTTTTTATCTACAAATATTTTAGCTGAACTTTTTTCATTACTCTCTTTTTCATTTTTTTGTCAAAGTAACATTTTATCATTTCCATAAAAATACAAGAGAGAAACAACGAGACAATCCTAAACAACTTCAAAATGAAACAAGCTCCAAATGACAAGATGAATCATCAGAACAAAGTTAGGGGTCACACGCTCAAAGAGTAGATCTGAGACTTTTTCAAATCAAAATCGACGGTCAATCATCGAATCCGTCTTCAATAATGAGCACAAACTGAGATCTCTAACTGTTGCTATGGCTTTGCCTTTTGACGATATGCGCCTAGGTTCGGCGTTCCCAACACTATCGCCATCAAAGTAACAAGGTTGAACGAGCACAAATTGTAAGAGTTTTTCTGATGTAAGCTACATTAATTGATATTGTAATTTACCATTTTACAGAGTTTGTCTAATAAAGTAAAATATAAAGTTTTTCAAATAGTCTAATATGGGACTGGCTAGTGTGGACCGAATAAGACCCTGCCAGTAATGAGAGGGCCTGACTTAAAATTTTATAAATAGAGCTCAAGTCCCTCCTCTAACCCTAACACACACATAAGGAGCATAGTGAGAGGCAGTCTCATTGAGGAGAAGACTTATGCTAAGGATCGTTGCTATTCTACATCAAGAACGATGGATTCCAAATCAGGTGCGTAAATTCCTTTTATTTGATTATATGTGTTCTAGATTCGTTCTAGATTCTAGCTATGGAGATCTTGGATGTCGTTTTTCGCAACCAACACATATCTGACACCTATGAGAGCAAAACTTTCACGAAGCTTCTCCGATCTCCTTCGAAACTAGACTTGTAGACCAACGAAATTCAAGGGAAGCGAAATCCCAAAATCATACATGCAAAAAACCTATAACCTAGACTAGATCGAGGTAGAAACCTCCCCAGAAATGAGAGAGAGATGGTTCTAGATCTAGACAATATCAGAAGAGAAAAGCTCCACAAAACGGGAGGAAATCAAGAAAAAGAAAATAGAGAACCAAATCAATCAAAGAAAAAGAGAAAGGGAAGGGAGGGAGAGATCTAGCTCAAACCCTTTCCGTCATGGAAAGGCAGCTTCACGACTTTCTGCTAAGTAGTATAGCCTGATGGAGACGATAATGGATTTTGATCCCTCTAATTGGACCACATAGCAACGAAGATACTTGAGCAACCCCAGTCTGGTCCACAGAAGCAAATTACTATTAAGTGACGTGACAAATTGCGAGGACGCTTCATTCAACTACCCGATAAAAGCAGGCTACGTGCTATTCCATTTTGCAAATCCTAGGATACCAATCCTTAATCATCTGCATTTGGTCGTAACTCAGGCTCAGACCACCATTTCTTTTATGGATCATCTCACCTGCCTTCTGGCACTAGGTTTTGATGGGAGGAATGGCTGCAGCTAGAAAATGGCTGGTTGTGGTTTTGTCCCTCATCGAACTAAGTATCATCAATCTCTATCGCTTGTAACTTGTCCCTTTTGCTTATTAACTAACCGAAGCAAGGTGCAGGAATGGAGGTCACCGGTGATTCAACCAACATCACTCCATCGACCTACAACTGCTACCAAGAGCTAAGAGACTTCGATGAATCGAAATCGAGTGTGAAAGACCCGTTTGATTCCGGCCTTGCTAAAATCCCGACAATCTTTGTCCGGCCGGCAGAAGAGATCGCCCGTGATCGAACCAAATCTAGAGCCACCGAACTCCAAATCTCCGTCATCGACCTTGAGAATCTCGCCACGAATCGGCCAAGGATGGTGGCGTAAGTCCTGGAGGCAGTGTGTGAGGTCGGCTTCTTCCAGGTGTTGAACCACGGGATACCACAGAGCATATTGGAAGGGATGTTTGTGGCAGCGCGTGCCTTCCACAAGCAGCCGAAGGAGGCCAAGGCCGAGTACTACGGTTGGGAGGGCAAGAGAAGGGTGAAATTTTCATGCAACTTCGACCTGTACAAGTCGAGGCATGCGTATTGGAGCGACAGTTGTTCTGCCTTATGGAACCTAAGCCGCTCAAAAACGAGGAGTTGCCTCTTGTTTGCGGCTAACCACTCAATATTCCTGAATAGATTTTATCTTTGCGCCTCATACTTGTGACTGAAATAGAGTCGGTTTCGTCATATCGAACCAATTTTCAAATTGTTGAAACCTAAAATCTATCCAGGGACACAATAATGGAGTAATCCAAGCGAGTGAAGGCGCTAGCGACCATTCTGCTCGAATTACTATCGGAAGCTCTTGGCCTCAAGCCAAACTACCTTGTCAACATAGATTGTGCTAAAGGGCATGCTCTTCTCTATCACTATGTCCCGGCCTGCCCCGAGCCCAATCTTACTCTGGCTACTCCCAATCATTCCGATCCTTCTTCAAGATGATACCGGCTGGCTTCAAGTTCATTACCAGGATCAATGGGTTGATGTCCCTCCTGTCGTGGGTGCTCTAGTTGTCAACATTGGAGATCTCCTCCAGGCAAGCTCTCAATCTCACTTCTATTAGTACTATAACAAGTTTCTTCCGGGATTTGCCTTATGTTGTTTTTGGATTAAAATTAGAAACACGAGACACAGATGAAAGAGGTTCAATCGGTCCGCTTATATGTGTTCTGTTTGTTTCCTGGCAGCTTATGTCGAACGACATTTTCAAAAGCGTCGAGCACCGAGTGCTGTCGAAAGATGTCGGCCCAAGGCTATCCGTCGCCTGCTTCTTCACTCTTTATGAAGATCCAACATCCAAGGTGTACGGGCCGATAAAGGAGCCGGTGTCGGAAGATAGGCCAGCTTTGTACCGCAAGATCACCCTCGGAGAGTTCATGACGCACTATTACTCAAAGGGGCTCGATGGTCAATCGGCTCTTGCACCTTTCAGATTGCCGAGCTAGACATTGGAATGCAAGATTAGAAGCTATGATCTAGATTCAAGAGGCAAAAGAACTTAATAGTCCCAGAGAAAATTATATTGTCTGTTATTTACCTTGTTCTTTCATCGAATTCTAGGGTTTCATGTTATTATTTTATGGACCTTAAAATGTTGTGACCAATCACTTTTAAGCATTATTACTACTTAATGACTTATGGCATTTTCGGTGATTGAAAGTATAAGCTCCTAATATTCATTCGAGGTTTCCGTAAGTGCTTTATGTTCAAAATTGGGATCGATGAATGTTTTGGTCTTCAATTTGTGTAGCTTTTGCCATTGAGTCCTCTAACTTTTTTTACCCGGTTCAATGGAGTCCTATAACCGCTCGATTTTTCCACTATTGTCCTTTTGTCAATAGTACATTTAAATTTTAATTATGCTGATGTGGTTCATGGCAAGAACATTTCCTCAAATTTTAAGAAGGAGAATTTACTTTGAAATTAAGTCCAGGAAATAAACTCACAAAAAAAGTGAGGCAAAAGAAAAGGAAAGACTTGAAGGAGAGAGGGGTGGAGGGAAGGGTGCCGTCGTAGCTTCCCTTCACGGAGGTTGCCGTGGACCTCCATGATCGCTGTTTGCTGCTGTTTTTACCACCAACACCAATGACTCACAACCGCACAACCACTAGTAATCTTATCTCTCTTATTAGGATTCGGCGCACAATCATAAGAAAATAGAGTAAAAGCGAGACTCCCATGTCTTCCTGTCGGAAGTGAGAATGAACCACACCCTAACATTTCTCTCTCTCTCGATCTTAATCTCGAAGCGGCGTCAACATCATGACGGTAAAGAATTCCAAGGGAGGAAATTATGGGCCTCTCGTGTGGAAAGTGAACAATGGTGTGGTCTCCCGAGTTCGACTCCTTACGCTCCATTTGCATCTATTCCGAGATTTCCCCTTTTCATACGTCTTGAGAATCTACGAAATCCTTTCATCTGCACTTAAAAACTTTGCGTGATTAGGCCTTCATTATGTGATCATATGAGTGTCACTGTTCTCTAGTAACCTAAACTTTGTACTAAACTTTAATCTATCTCATGATTGAATATCACAATTCTCGGTGCTCAATAAGAAAATTTTGTGTAGAATCAATCTGATCTGTGGATGATGTGGCGGACAATTGGACAAAACTAATTACAACACAAAAATTGTATGAAGTTCGTATTTTTTTTTTATGGGACCTAGAAGGGTAAATGATACAAATGGTCCCTCAAATTTGACTCAATGTATAATACGGTCCCCGAACTTTAAATTTGTTCAATGTGATCCATGAACTTTAACCCAATGTACAATATCGTCCATGAACTGTTAATTTGTTCAATGTGGTCCTTATAATTTTGGTACATGTTTAATTTAATTCATGAATTGTATAAAAATGTTCAATATTTGATACAATCGAGAAATTGTACATTAAACAAATTAGAAGTTCATGGATGACATTACACATTGGGATTCAAGTTAAGAAATCACATTAAATAAATTTAAAATTTGGGAACCACATTATACATTATGCCAAAATTCATGGATCATTTATGTCGTTATTTCGGACTTGGAACAAAACCCACGTACTCTTGAAATGTTACCGGAATACGGCAGAGAAGTTGCCGCGCGGTACTCGCCCTTTGTTCAATGGACAGACATACCCTGAAAAAAGGCCAAAACCAGGATGTTTCCGCAACACGCGCCTCCTCGAAGTGGGGAGAGATTAGGTGCAATTTTCCTTATTTTATATAATATAAGCAGTAGTAGTTGGGTCGGGTTTGAAAAGGCTGAAGCACGCCAAATCTGGTCGCACCACTTGACTCTTCAAACCCGTTGTCTCGGATTCAATTCATTCATTCCTTTCTTTTTCCATAATTGCTCATCTCATCACCCACAGAAAGATACAAACATGATAAAGTAACGAAAAGGTTCATTCTCTGTCGTTTGGCTCGTCCTAATTTAATGCCAATTCCCGTCTGCTCTGCTTTGCGCTCTCTCTCTCTCTCCCAATCCATTGTTGTTACCCGAATGACTGTATTCTCTCACCCTTATAACTGCTTTCTTCTGCAAATCTGCAACAAACCCTGATTTGCTTATCGAGAAAGACAGACCCAGATTTGATTTCCACCCATAACTTCAGTTTTCCAGGCTTCCTGGGAAGTCGAAATTTTGGGTTCTTTGGGGATCTGAATTGGTGTCCGGGACTGGTTGAAACATGGGCTGCCTTTGTTGAGATGACTGGGATCGACGTCTCTTCGTTTTTGCAAGTCAAGAATCAGACTCGACGGGTTTGAGGTGGAAGGGTCAAAGAGATGAAGGATTTTGCTGGGACGCCCGGGACTCTGACCGGCCTTGCTTTGAGGGTGTCGCAGTTTGTTTTTGCAGCTGGGTCAATTGCTTCCATGGCGACCACCAACAGCTTCTTTGACTTCACAGCTTTCTGGTATGTTGTATGTCCTCTTTTTGCTCAGTATTGTAGAGATCAAAGGTTGTTCTTGTTCTGTTTCATCCGAGGTTGTTATTGTATGACGCTGCTTCTGTTGAATTCATGGTCTGCTGTCCATGATATTGGGGTGTATGCTAGGAGTTGAATTGTCTTAATCGATATCGAAATTCTTTATGCTTTGATGATTGATTGCTCTCTGCTCCGTTAGGTTCTTTTTTCAATTTTGCCCCCGTTTCAGTGTTCTGTTTTTCTTTGGTGGGAATGGGGCGTTGGCTGTTGGCTAGTCAATTTGAGGCAAGAGAGCTTAGCGAGGCTCGGGGTCGAAATATAATTTTGTTGCAAGAACCACCAAGATGGGCTCAACATGAGTTCAGGCGGAAACTGATAACAGTTGGCACTTGAGGGGAAACTTGACCATCTGATTTGTTGGCAAGTTTGAGTTACTCAGAAATTCAGTTCAAATACGTTGGATCAAGAATGCGAAATGACTGCATGGCTGGAGGCTTGGATTGTTTGTTCCTTCATTTCATAGAGGTATTCCAACAGGCGCATCAAAATCTTTTTTCTTTTTTATGTATCTTTTTTAACTACCAATGGACGGGAGAAAATCTTTTACTAGCATGGCTAGGTAATGTGGGAAATGGATCGGTTTGCCTCTGTTAGGAAAGGGCAGAAGCTAGAAAGCAAGAAACCAAAAGGTTCTTCCTATAAAATACCGAGGTAATTGATTAGTTGAACATTCTTATTCTATCCATCTTCTGAGTATTGGAGTTAAGCGATAGCACGAGACTTATTCTGATTAGTGTCATTTGCTGAGGAAGACTTTCGCCATTATCATCCTTGATAGGCAAGAAACCTGTATAATCTGAGTCTCTGATTGTAGACTTTTTGACATGGCAATGTGTTAGTCTTAGAAGCAATTCTCGTGACGGAGATGGCGATGTAAGAGGAAGTGTATCCTGTTACTGAGAATGAAGTTTTTCATATACACATGTGTTACATCCAATTAAGCATTGCAATGGGCCGATGTTCATCAAGCTATAGTTGATCATTAAGGTCTGGTGAGTCTGATCAGAAAAGCCTCCATTTTCATGTCCTGGTTTATAGGTCGTGTAGGAGATGTTTTCTGCTATCTGCAGTTCAATGTGCTATAGTTGATCATTGTTTGAGATCTTACTTGACATATTGGACCTTTTTTTGCTTTTGGCTTCTCATACATTTTGCATTTGGCCTCTGTCTGCTGTATGAGCAATGAACTAATGGTCGGTCATTGGTCGGGTTGTTCTCTTCCCCTTCCTTTGGTTTGTTTTGTTTGTGATTTTTTCTTGGTGCTGTTTTATTTGTAATATGATTCTTCAAAACTTCACAGAGATAATTTTTGGTTATAAGTGCAGCGCAGTCTATTGATCTTGGACATGTAACTGATATGTGCTAATTTTGAGTTTTTTCTTTAGCTACTTGATTGCTTCGATGGGTTTGCAATTAATCTGGAGCTTCGGCCTCGCAACTTTAGATGCATACGCAATCTTTAAAAGGAAGGTCCTACATGGTCCCGTGCTTGTAAGCCTCTTTGTGGTGGGAGACTGGGTCAGCCTCTTATTAACCCTCTCAGGAATTACTTTAAATCTTAGAATTACTCCATTCGTCATAGAATGACTCAACATTTCATAATTATCAACAGGTCACAGCAACGTTATCTCTCGCCGCAGCTTCTTCCTCAGCTGGCATCACAGTGTTATACTTCAATGACTTCGGCAGTTGCAATTTCGGGGCTGAATGCCGAAAATACCAAATGGCGGTGGCATTAGCATACATGAGCTGGATAGCCATCGGCACGTCGTCTCTGATCATGCTTTGGCTATTGGCTTCAGGTTAGATACATTTTTGTTCTTGTATAGGGTTCCCTGATACGTTTTCCGTCGCAGAAAGTCGCCTTTGTTCTGTTGACGAATTTTGATCTCATTCTGATGTCAAAAAGAAACAAAAGAGTACAGCAATACAAGATTCATGAGTTTTTCCATCTTCACACTTCACATTGAAAAGTACTTTGATAATGAGAACATGCTCATCATCTGAAAAAAGGGGTATGCTTCAAATCTTCATCTCTAATCACTTGGTGCGAAAGCAAGAATCATCTCATCAACCTCATAAAGTTAAGCTAGATGACCACGATGATGAAGACAAGGAAGCGTAGACCGGCTAAAGTGGCACCAAACTCTAGCAATGCTTGTTTTCAGAGAATTGGATGATTCATTGGGGCATGTTCTGTTAAAGAGCAAAATGTGGGGCAAAACCTTTCCACCTTTCTGTCTTCTAAATTATTCCATTTAGTCCATAATGATCTCTGGGTCATCACTCTTCATTGATGCTTTCTCATTCCGAAGAGGCAACACTTTGCAACTGTTGAGAAAGTGACTTCCCCAAAATCAATATCACAAGTTCACCAATTCGGTCCACAAAGTATTCCTAATCAATTGTTCAAGGGTCGATATCGACTGTGCCTGCACATCAATTTCTTGGCACTCCTGCACGATGGCCGGCTTGCTAAGGGCATGAGTTCAAAGTCCAAACCTAGTGGTCCCGCTCTAAAATCATAAGCAACAGAAAGAGATCGCTCAATTTGATGGAATTTGGTTGTAGCAATAGACTTTTTGATGAATTTCTTAGCGAGCCAATTGGTTTCTCGCTGAAATTCGCGACCTCGTGGCGCTTGTGACGGTGACATTGGCAATTTTGCTGCTCGATTATGAGATTATCTATCTCTCACAGTACAGTGTTGCGACCAAACTACTCAATCTGCTAAAAATGGGGCTCACAACCAAAAGAGAAGGCACTACTTACTCAAGAATATAGTAAAACAAGGACAGGGATATCATTAAATGGTTATCCAATCAATCACCATCCTGGGGATGCCTTCAAAGGGAAGCACTATTTGGTACCAAAATCGTTTGGTCTCTTTTTATATTAAAATGTGAAATTTGGTGGCCATTCCTATGTGTTCAAGTGGAGTCATCTCATTGATAATGGAGGGGACCACAACCCCACAAAAGGTGAAGAGACTATCACTCCATAGCCCCATACTTCATATATGCATTTTATATATGTATGAATGTATGTTTGTTCATACATATAATATAATTGGTCATTGGGTAGTGGCAATGAGAGGTGGTGGTGATGAGTTGGGATAGGAGGAACCTTGTTAGCTATCTATTTATGTGGAGATTCTTGAGAACAATGGGTGATGTAAAGATCCAAACATGTGTCATTAGGAAAGAGGTACAAAAAAAGAAATAGAAAAGGGAATTAAGACATAAAAAGAATGGAATAAAAAAAAGGAAAACATCGAATGCATATATTATCGTTGATCCCGTGACCATTTACATACCTCTATTTTTACGAATATCATTTACGTATCTATGAGCAAAACCCCACATTCAAAAGATCATATTGCTCTTTCTTATGAACTCATTTTAGCACCTTATTTAGGATTTAGGGAGTTTCGTTTTTATTTGGTTCAAAGTATTTGGGCGGGTGTGAGAGTTTAGAATTTGAAGATGGGTATTTTTTTTTTTGGAAGAACATGTCGTTTCCATAAATAGGTACGGAAATATATTTCATATGAATATGTAAAGTGGCTCCAAAAGTAAAGCTCAAGCATGTATTTAGTATTTTCCAAAAGTAAATAGTCGTTGAGTGAAGATAAGATATGTTTTTGGCCTAAAGAATGATAAGTTGTCAAGCTCAATTAGACGGTCGACGATCAACGACTAACGATGACTATCAATCAACGGCCGATAATCATTATCAGTCATCTGATGGCTCATAAAGAGCTTGACAATTTTGTCGTGATTTCAACGGTTATTGTAAAAAGAACCTTAGAAATTTGTGGTGTGAACCGCCGTAACAGCATTGTATATGTAAATTGCGATGCTGGTAGGATGTTTGATTTGGTGCAATCTTTGATTTTGGTTGCAAAATTGGTTGGATGATGGTTTTAGCTACAAATGGACTACCGGAGGTGTTGTCGCGACCTCCCCGAACCGGCCCCGCCGCCTAAGGAGTTTGGCTAATGGATTACTAAGTTAAACCTAGCTCGAGCTCTCCCAAGCTCATACCAATTCGCGACTTAAGTTTAAGTTGTTAACATGCAAATCAATTTTATCTAGGAGTCGCCACTAATCGATTTTTGGTGGGTCGATTAGACACCCAAGTAAAGCACGGGAGAAATACTTTACTTCTACGAACCAGAGATTCAATAGGTACGGGGACTTGATTACACTAATTGACTAATTAGTGCCCTTTCGGTACCTAATCTTGCTCAATTCGCCACCTAACATGCTCACACTAATTGGGAGTCTCAAAAATTCATTCCTAACCAAGCTAGGGGAAGCGACAATCACTACATGAACCTAACATACATAATCGACTACATGCGAGGTTAAATTAAACGCACCGCTCAAAGTGTGTGAACCAAGCAACATGCAATCAGTAATGACATTAATCATGCAAGAGGGGCAAGAAAAGCTAATTCCAAAGTCCAAATAAAATTTTTGATTTTTCGAAATTTTTTTAAAAATAAAAAAATAAAAAAATTTAATATTAAAATAACGAAAATAATATAAAACAGACCGGGTCGGATCTCCACATCTGACCCGGATGAAATATATTTTTTGAAATTTTTTTTTTAAAAAAAATTGATGATTTTTTTTTTAAAAATTAAATTAATTTTATATTAAAACAATAAAACAAAATTAAAACGGATCCGGGTCGGATCTCCACATCCGACCCGGATCGGGACTGACCCGGGCGCGCCGGCCCGGGTCCACGATCGGACCGGGTTCATTTATTGAACCCGGTCTGGCGAATTAAAAGCAAGAAAAAGGCCCAGCCCGAAATTTTTTTTAAAAAAAAAACAAAAGCCCAGCCCACTAAAAAAGGACAAAGCAAGACAAAAGCCCACATCCTAACACAACCCTACCCGGTTTCGACCCGTGACCCGACCCGGACGTGTGTTGCCCTACCCGGCTCGCGGCCGCCACACCGCGCCCCGAGCTCGTCTGTACGCCGGCCGCCGCTCCGACGTCGAGCGCACGTCCGGCCATCGCACGCGCCGGCCGGCGTGGACACCGGCTTCCCCGAGCCCCGGCCTCCCGCAGCTCGACGCTCCACCTTGGCCCGCATCGCCGCCCCGACGAGGAGCGGCGAGCGTCCTCCAGCCGGGTCGCCACTTGGCGACCGGCGACCACCAGGGATCGACCGGCCGAGCCTCGGCGAGAGGCTGGCAAGTCGACCGATCGAGAACCGGCCAGATCCCGACGAGGGACTGGCCGCCTTACCTCACCTCGCGGTCGCGTCCGGACCGCCGCCCTACCCTCGGGCCTCCTCTGCTCGCGTCGCCGCCGCGGCAACCGATTCCCAGCCGGGATCCTCCGGCGTTCCAGCCCCCCAAACAGAAAGCACAACGAAACAGAGACAGATTCAAGAAACGGTTTAGGCATATCATCAAACACCTTGCAAGCGTCGACGGAAGCGAGGGATTTTAAGCACGATCGAGGCTCAAACACACCCGAAATCCACACCCAACAACACTCAAAGCAGTAGGACGAACCCGAGGTGTCACTGGTCGGAACTCGCGCAAGCCGGACGGCCGCGAGCTCCGGCCAGTGACCCCCCAAAAAAGCAGAGTAAAAACGAAAGCAGGGGAGGCGGCCACGGTTCCTACCCGACTCGGCGGTGGCGAATGGAGGGCGAACGCGGTGGATCAGGCTGCACCCGCGCGCCTCGCACACCTACGAGCCGGGATCCTCGGGGGACCGACTCCGAATCGGACCCAAACCAAAACAAAAAACCGGCGAGCGCTCGAGACCGGGACCTACCGTGCCAGAGGATCGTCGGCCGCGGCTTGGGCACGGCGGTCGCCGGCGGAGGACCGACGTCTCTCTCTCTCCGGAACTCTCTCTCTCTCCGATCTCTCGCTCTCTCCGATCTCTCCCCCAGTTCCCCCCACGACCAGATCTGGTCTTAAAGGACTTGGCCGGCACGTCCGCGTGGCCCCTGCTGCCGGCAGGCGCGCATGGCCTCTGCCACCGCCTAGCTGCCGTGGCCGGCCGATCTCGCGACCCGCGGATCGCGCTGCCAGCCCCCCCTCGCGCCTCCGCTTTCTCTTCCGTCCATCTCGTGGCGTTCATCCTTATTCTCCCCGTACGTTTCAAACGTTGACCGGGGAGGGGAGGTGAACAGTGCGCAGGCTGGGCCGTGGGAAATGGGCCGGCCCGCGTGAAAATAGAAAAGAGAGGATGGGTCGCGCGCAATAAAAGCAAAACGGGGGGGAAAAGAATGGGCCGACGAACCCGATTCGATTTTTTTTTTCTTCTTTTTTTATATATGCATATGTCCTAACAGGCCCTATTAATGCAAATGTACCTAAGGTCTATATGCAGTGCGATTCAATGAAAACATTTTTTGTTTAGTGGTTTAAAAATTAAACCCTAAAATTTTTATACGATAAAACCCTGAATAATTTAAGCAAAATTTAGGTGTCAACAGCCGCCCCTCTTTGAAGGGGAGCTCGAAGAGGTTCATTTCAAAGATAAGAAACGCCTAAATTTTGTTGACAGAGGGCACGGGATGATGCAATGCAAGGAAGAGGAGAAAATAAAATCTAAATAAACGAAAATCATAGTTTAACGAAAAATGTGGTTTAAGGTTGGACCACAAACCTTTGAGAAAGAGTGGTTTAAGGTTGGACCACAAACCTTTGGAAGCGTGGTTTAAGGTTGGACCACAAACCTTTGGAAGCGTGGTTTAAGGTTGGACCACAAACCTTTGAAAAAACGTGGTTTAAGGTTGGACCACAAACCTTTGGAAGCGTGGTTTAAGGTTGGACCACAAACCTTTTGGAAAAACGTGGTTTAAGGTTGGACCACAAACCTTTGAAAAAACGTGGTTTAAGGTTGGACCACAAACCTTTGGAAGCGTGGTTTAAGGTTGAACCACAAACCTTTGAGAAAGAGTGGTTTA